TGTGTGTGTGTATATATATATATATTCTTAGAGACTATATATATATTTATATATATATTCTTGGAGACTATATATATATATACACACACACACTTAGAGACCTACAAAGAGACTTAGACTCCTACACAATAATAGTGGGAGACTTTAACACCCCACTGTCAATATTAGACAGATCAATGAGACAGAAATTTAACAAGAATATTTAGGACTTGAACTGAGCTCTGGACCAAGGAGAGCTAATAGATATCTATAGAACTCTCCACCCCAAATCAATAGCATATACATTCTTCTCAGCGCCTCATTGCACTTATTCTAAACTTGACCACATAGATTGAAGTAAAACACTCTTCAGCAAATGCAAACAAATGGATATCATAACAGTCTCTCAGACCACAGTGCAATCAAATTAGAACTCAGGATTAAGAAACTCACTCAAAACCACACAACTACAAGGAAACTGAACAACCTGCTCCTGAGTGACTACTGGGTAAATAATGAAATTAAGGCAGAAATAAAGATGTTCTTTGAAGCCAATAAGAACAAAGACACAATGTACCAGAATCTCTGGGACACATTTAAAGCAGTGTATAGAGGGAAATTTATAGCACTAAATGCCCACAAAAGAAAGCAGGAAATATCTAAAATTGACACCCTAACATCACAATGAAAAGAACTACAGAAGCAAGAACAAACAAATTCAAAAACTAGCAAAGGACAAGAAATAACTAAGATCAGAGCAGAACTGAAGGAGATAGAGACACAAAAACCCTTCAAAAAATCAATGAATCCAGGAGCTGGTTTTTTGAAAAGATCAACAAAATAGACCACCAGCCAGACTAATAAAGAAGAAAAGAGAGAAGAATCAAATAGACACAATAAAAAATGAAAAAGGGGATATCACTACTGATCACACAGAAATACAAACTACCATCAGAGAATACTATAAACACCTCTATGCAAATAAACTAAAAAATCTAGAAGAAAGGGATAAATTCCTGAACACATACACCCTCCCAATTCTAAACCAGGAAGAAGTCGAATCCATGAATAGACCAATAACAAGTTCTGAAACGGAAGCAGTAATTAACACCCTACCAACCAAAAAAAAGTCCAGGACCAGACAGATTCACAGCCAAATTCTACCAGAGGTACAAAGAGGAGCTAGTACCATTCCTTCTGAAACTATTTCAAACAGTAGAAAAAGAGGGACTCCTCCCTAACTCATTTTATGAGGCCAGCATCATCCTGATACCAAAACCTGGCAGAGACACAACAAAAAAAGAAAATGTCAGCCCAATATCCCGGATGAACATCAATGGAAAAATCTTCAATAAAATACTGGCAAACCGAATCCAGAGCCACATCAAAAAGCTTATCCACAATGATTACATTGGCTTCATACCTGGGATGCAAGGCTGGTTCAATAGACACAAATCAATAAATGTAATCCACCGCATACACAGAACCAATGACAAAAACCACAAGATTATCTCAGTAGATGCAGAAAAGGCCTTTGACAAAATTAAACACCCCTTCATGCGAAAAACTCTCAATAAACAACGTATTGATGCAACATATCTCAAAATAATAAGAGCTATTTATAAAAAACCCATAGCCAATATCATACTGAGTGGGTAAAAACTGGAAGCATTCCCTTTGAAAACTAGCACAAGACAGGGATGCCCTCTCTCACCACTCCTATTCACCATAGTATTGGTATTTCTGGCCAGGGCAATCATGCAAGAGAAAGAAATACAGAGTATTCAAATAGGAAAAGAGGAAGTCATATTGTCTCTGTTTGCTGATGACATGCTTGTATATTTAGAAAACCCCACCATCTCAGCCCAAAATCTCCTTAAGCTGATAAGCAATTTCAGCAAAGTCTCAGCATACAAAATCCATGTGCAAAAACCACAAGCACCCCTCTACACCAATAACAGACAGAGACCCAAATCATGAGTGAACTTCCATTCACAACTGTTACAAAGAGAATAAAAGACCTGGGAATACAAAGGAAGAACCTCTTCAAGGAGAACTACAAACCGTTACTCAAGGAAATAAGAGAGTACACAAACAAATGGAAAACCATTCCATGCTCATTGATAGGAAGAATCAATATCATGAAAATGGCCACATGGCCCAAAGTAATCTACAGATTCAATGCTATCCCCATCAAACTACCATTGACTTTCTTCACAGAAATAGAAAAAAAAACTACTTTAAACTTCATGTGGAAATGAAAAAGATCCCACGTAGCCAAGACAATCCTAAGCAAAAAGAACAAAGCTGGAGGCATCATGATACCTGACTTCAAACTATACTACAAGGCTACAGTAACCAAAACAGCATGATACTGGTACCAAAACAGATATATAGACCAATAGAACAGAACAGAGGCCTCAGAACTAACATCACACATCTACAACCATCTCATCTTTGACAAACCTGACAAAAATAAGCAATGGGGAAAGGACTCCCTATTTAATAAATGGTGTTGGGATAACTGGCCAGCAATAGGCAGAAAACTGAAACTGGACCTCTTCCTTACACCTTATACAAAAATTAACTCAAGATGGATTAAAGACTTAAATGTAAGACCTAAAATCATACAAATCCTAGAAGAAAACCTAGGCAATACCATTCAGGACAAAGGCATGGGCAAAGACTTCATGTCTAAAACACCAAAATCAATGGCAACAAAAGCCAAAATTGACAAATGGAATCTAATTAAACTAAAGAGCTTCTGCACAGCAGAAGAAACTATCATCAGAGTGAACAAGCAACCTGATGGGAGAAAATCTTTGCAATCTATCCATCTGACAAAGGGCTAATACCCAGAATCTACAAGGAACTTAAACAAATTCACAAGAGAAAAACCACCCCATCAAAAAGTGGGTGAAGGATACGAAGAGACACTTCTCAGAAGAAGACATTCATGCAGCCAAAAAAAAAAAAAAAAGTATGAAAAAAAAGCTCATCATCACTGGTCATTAGAAAAATGCAAATCAAAACCTTAGTGAGATACCATCTCACACCAATTAGAAGCTATTTATAAAGCAGTGTAAAATACAGATTCCAATGTATCACATATCAAATTGCAATCATTAAAAAGTCAGGAAACAACAGATGCTGGAGAGAATGTGGAGAAATAGAAACACTTTTACACTGTTGGTGGGACTGTAAATTAGTTCAACCATTGTGGAAGACAGTGTGGCGATTCCCCAAGGATCTAGAACAAGAAATACCATTTGACCCAGCAATCCCATTACTAGGTTTATACCCAAAGGATTATAAATCATTCTACTATAGACACATGCACACATATGTTTGTTGCAGCACTATTCACAATAGCAAAGACTTGGAACTAACCCAAATGTCCATCAATGATAGACTGGATAAAGAAAATGTGGCACATACAAACCATGGAATACTATGCAGCCAGTGAAAAGGATGAGTTCATATCCTTTGCAGGGACATGGATGAAGCTGGAAACCATCATTCTCAGCAAACTAACACAAGAACAGAAAACCAAACAACACTTCTCACTCATAAGTGGGAGATGAACAATGAAAACACATGGACACAGAGAGGCGAACATCACACACCGGGACCTGTCAAGGGGTGGGGATCTAGGGGAGGGACAGCGTTAGGAGCAATACCTAAGGTAGGTGAGGGGTTGATGGGTGCAGCAAACCACCAAGACATGTGTATACCTATGTAACAAAACTGTACGTTCTGCACATGTACCCCAGAACTTAAAGTATAATAAAAAATAAATAAAAGTGGATTTTAAGCTCTTTGTAAACCAATGTAAAGCACAGATTCCAATGTATCATGTATCAAATACGAGTACCTTAGGTACCTTCGACACTTTAACTTGAGTTAAAATAAGATTTTCAAATAAGAAGATAGTATTACTTTGAATAATAGGAATTGCTTTCACATTTTATTGAGATATATTAAAAGACCTTCTGTAGGTTTGGCTTTGATAGATTTTCTTCTGTTTCCTTAAAAAAGCCAAATTCATCATCTTTTCTATTTCCCACTCCTTTATGTTGTCACTTCATCTGAACTCCCTAAGACCATTAATAGTATTACCAAATACTTGGGTGTTCAAGGCAAAAAGTCACATGTTGTCTCAGACCACTGGTTTTCAAAATGCAATGTGGAACAGCAACATAAATTTGTATTACCTAAGAACTTGATGGAAATGCACATTCTAGGGTCCAATCAAGACCTACTAAGTCAGAAACTCTGGAGGCAGGGAATAGCAATATGCCTTAACTAACCCTCCAAGTGATTGTGATCTTGGTCAAGTTTGAAAACCACTGTTTCAGTATCAGTAATCCCTCTATTCCAGTTTCAACTATAGTCAGTCAATCAGTCGTACTTCTGTGCTTTTGCTCATGCCTTCTCCTCTCCTTAACTCTAATACACCCTCCCTTTGAGAGCTTGCACATCCCAACCCCTTTTCTACTCAGCTTCTGTCTTAACTCAATTAAAAGGCAATTAAAAGATCATCATAATCTCTCCCCACATTACCTCAAATACATTAAAAGTGCATGTACATTTCACTTTAATTTTTCTATTAAAATTTTAATAAATTTTTTTAAAATGCTTATGCTTTTTCTTTTGACAATATTTGGCTACAAATATTGTTTAATGGTTTTAATAATTGGCTGTGATTTTTCAGAACTCATCACACATAACCAGGAATTCCTAAGAGGTGAAGGTGTCTAACCTAAAATTCATGAATACTAAGTTTTAAAAATAGGGAGGTTAACATTATATTTTCTATAGACATTTAATTTGAAATTTGGGAATTAATTAATTTTCTGTTGTTTTGTTGTATTTTAGAATGCACACCCATATTTATAGGCCCATGAAAAATTCCTGTGCCCAAAGAACTATGCCTGTATTGCTTAATAGACAAAATGATCCTGCTCTGGTTTGTTCCCTCCACAAAGATGTTCTGGGAACAATGGGTACTGGATCATCCATTGTGATGCTGACAGAAGGCAGCTTGGATAGAACACTTGTGAAAAAATCTGTTTATATATACGGTATGTCTTCCCCACCAGACCCTCCACTCCTTTCAAGAAAGGACCTTGTTATCTACACTGGACCCTCTGAGGACATGCAGTATGTAACGCATATGGGTGCACAGAAAATGTGTTTTAAACCACCAAATTGAAATAACAATTTCACCAGCTAGAGAAATGGACTTAGAAATGTTTACTTAGATATATTACATGTGAGTTAATGATGCTATGTTTAACTTAGTTTTACTTTCTATTTTGTTTAGTATAGCTTTGCTTCCTACTGAATGGTAACCATCTAGTTATCAAAACTGTCTGATTATTAAGGCAGATTTTGTCCAGCAGATGTCAGTATAGCTCAGTTTAATAATTTCAATTGTTAACATAAAGTTGAAAAATTAATGGAGATGATAGGAGAGAAAAATATTTGCACCCAGAATGGCATTTCTTTGTTGACATTTGAGGAAATTGTGCCGAATAAAAAAATCCACATAACCATTCAAGCATATTGGAAATGCTGGAAGTATTGACTTCATAGCAAACACGGTGTTAATGCAAAATTTCTTCCACTTTGAAGTTCAAAGTGGTTTAAACTAGATGTCAGGTTATTGTTAGCTATAGCCAAAAATCAAAGGATGAGAGACAGTGCAAGGCTGTGTGTGTGTGTGTGTGTGTGTGTGTGTGTGTGTGTGTGTGTGAATGTGCAAATGTGAGTTCTGTTGCTGATTAAGACTGTTTTATGAAAATAACTTTATTTCACTTTGCCAATTATTTACATGTCTCTTCTTTCTCTAAAGTAATATTAACCATCCTTCTATACCTTTTAAAATACAAAGGCTTTTCCATGGCTTTGAATTTAAAAGGAGAGCAAAGTAAAAGGAAGCCCAGTTTTTTTTAACTGAAGGAAAATTCACATAATATTCACCAAGCCCAAAGTGTTTTGAAAGAGACTCAAGCCATCACACTAGCAAACTATTATAATTAACATTATTTATTATTATTAGGCTTTTCCTAGCTCTGAATAATATCTAATTTTCTTATACCTAATAAAAATTAGATCTTTCCAGTAAGCTTTAAAAGGCATGTTTTTATGCAGAAGTTGTCCTGAAATCAGGCCTTGTAACTTTTGGCCTCTGAATCTCTCTCGAGGCTCATATCTCCCTTCAACCACCAGTGTTCTCCTCTCTGCACTCCAAGCACACTTTCATTTCAGTTTCTTGATGACAGACACATGAATTCCCACCAAAGGGCCTTGGTAGTTGTTGCATAGAGGCCTCTCAGGGCCGCTGCAGAGATGGGGCATAGGTATGCATAGAAGGTGGACCAAGAGGCTTTCAGGCTTCCCACCAGTCTAACTAGGGGAGACCAATTTTAATCAAGTGGCTATAATGGTAGCTATTCCCACTTGTATTCTTATTCCAGCCAAAAGTAAATAAAATGGCTCTTTGGATGCTCAGTCTTCCCCAGCACACATGAACAATCTGAGACTCAGAACTCTGTCAAATCTTTTTCATATTCTCCTTCACTCTTTCCCACCCAGAGTCCCATCAAGCCTCAAATTGCCCTAAGAGTCCCTGATGTACCATTCACGATGGATAGCCACTTATATAAAAATCACTGTCCTCTGCAGCAGCCCACTTACTGTACTTTTAAATTACCATATCTTAATAGGGAGAAAGGAAGTTTAGATTCTCAGCAATATTAGAGGATAAAAAAAGACAAGAAGCAACTGACTTTTATTAATAACTTTGCTGGAAAGCAGCAAGGCAACATCTGGAATACTTATTACCCACTTGGCATGCTGTTCATCTCCATGGATAAGATTCAACATGACAAGCCCTGTCAAAAGGAAATAAGCTCCATCTAGTTAAATTAGAATGATTAGGGTCATTTAGACAGAGGAAGTTTAATTTATATGAATCTAGAAATTTTATACAAACTGGAATACCTAAGTATTTAATCTTCCCTGAAGCTCAATTTAAAACTGAAAGAGACTATTGCATAGATCCATAACGAGAAGAGACATATTAGAAATTAATTTAACTATTACCATACTGCGAGCATGCAGCCCAGGAAATCAGACTATTTCACTTGCAGTTTGTTCACAACAATAGGAGAAAATGTTCTGCTATAATTCATTAATCACTGTTTTATTTTATGAACTCCTTAAATGGACACTTGAGTATCCAAAGTAAACTTGATTTTTTTTTCTATTGCTTTTTAAAAACTCTCCTACGAAACTATGTTACGCAGTGAACGGCAACAGAATTCAATCCTAACCTTACCTTCTACAGTGGAGGTTTTCACCTTTCTGGTGTCATTGACCACTTCAAGATCCCCTTAAAAGCTATGGATCCACTCTCAGAATAATGTTCTAAATATACAAAATAGCACACATAGGATTTTGTGTTAAATATGTAAATAACACTTATAATATAGAGAAAGCAACTGATTTTTAAATACAGATATCAAAATATTTCCAAATGTGTGATGTAATAGTGTGTGTGCTCCTTTATTAGCACATCTAATAACTATTGTAATTTTGAAGTAATTGTAAGCAGAAATAACTGCTAGAATACAGTATAAAAATATAGATGATTTCTATCAATGACAAAAAGTTATCAGGTACCCCCAATACAATTGTGTTTGTTGCCTCTATCAGTAATTGAGGGAAATACTTCAGTTATAACTTAGTGAAAATTAATATGTGATTGTTTTCCATCCATGTTCATCAGCCAGCAAATCTTTTCAATGAGCATCAAGGGTTGGTTAAGAACCCTGGTTCTAGAGTTCAGTAGATGGGAATGATGTAATTAAGAAGACTAAGGATGGTCACTATGATAGCTGACATCTGTTGACAGTAAATAATAGACTACAAAGGGGGATTGTCAATTCTTCAGATAGACCAATTAAGAGCCCACACAGAAAAGAAGACTTAATTACCAGTCTGGATCATAGCAGAACCACCAAATCTGTTTCACTTGATGCCATGTCGCCAAACCACTAGACCATCCTAAACTTGTGTGAGAATCGTGATTCAAATTACCTGGTTTCAATAAGTGATCAGAGTCCCTAAATCTTTTAGCTAATTCCATGTCTTAAGATAATCTCTTACTTAAAATAAATATTCACCTGTAATGTAACAGGAATAAATCTTGAAGTGCTCTTGGAAACTCCTTATTACCTCCTTTAGTGTAAAGAGCATAATATCTTCCTTGAAAAGGTTGTATTTCTCTCAACATTTATTCAGTGCCTATTCTAGGCTGAGTGCTGAGAGGACTGAGTGCTGGAGAACGAAGACTAAAGAAGAACTTGGAACTGTCCTGCTTCTAGAGAACTCAAGAACTACTAGGTAAATTAGTAAATTACTAAATCCAACACCAAGTTGTCATTTTCATAGTAAGTTATGTATCAAGCACTGTTGGGCCCCAGAGGAATAACAAGCCTTCCAAAGGAATAACAAGCCTTCTCAAGTTGGAAGAAGAGGAAAGAGGGGAGCCAGAATACTAATCTGCAAAACGTAGAAAAACATAGGAGACAAAGAGGAACAGGCAGAACTGTTGGGAAATTACTATATGCAGAGGTCATACAAGACATGAAAAAGAACAGCATGTTTGAGAAAAAAGTGAAGAGATGGGAGGTGCAAAGACCTAATTGTTAAAAGGTCCTAAGTTTCTCGTTAAGCAGTGTGGACATTATCTTGTTGATCAGTAGTCACCAGAACCAGCATCATCAGCATCACGTGGAAACTTGTAGGAAGTACACATTCTCAGACTCCACCCCAGACCTGCTAGCATGGAAATCTGGCAGTGGACCCTAGCAAGCTATATTTTAATAGCCCTCCAGATGATTCTCTTACACAAAAAGTTTGAGAACCACCACTATTGATATGAGAGAACTAAATCACCAATGATAGGTTCAGAAAAACCACCAAAATGTAGAAAAACCATCCTCTTCTAGCTTCAGGAGTAAGTAACGAGGTTGGATCTGCAAATGGAACAATCATTTATGCATCCATGTGGAAGATGAGTTGAAGAAAAGAGAGAATGAAATCAGGAAGACCATTAGGAGGCTGTGCCATGGGTCAGGGAAGGACCAAAACCAGTGAAGTGGCAGTGAAGATGAGGAGAGGAGACAGACTTGTGAGAGGATCCACAGATGCAGCCAGTTAGACATGGGAAATAAGGGAAGAGAAACGTCAGAAATGACTTCTTTCTTGAGCAACGTCCTTGAAAGGCTTGCTTGAATGTCCTGGAGGTTTATGCCTGGCCTTTGACAATGTGGCCAGAACTCATATTCAGGGTTCCTTTACAATTGCAGTTTCAAAAAGGTATACACAGGCCCGCTTCAAGTGAATGATAACGCATATGTTTATTAGTTTCAGGAAATAAACCATTGAAGGCCCAGAACTTTAGAAACAAAGAGAAGAACACACCAATCACAAAAACCTAATATCAGGCTTCCTGGGAAACTGATTTCAGAGCTGGGGAAGGGAAAATATAAGATGAGCTTGGAACACTTTTGATGCCACAAAGGAAAGAAATGCTCCAAAAAAGGATGAGGGCATGTTGAAATGATAACAGGAGCCAGCCTAAAGTAGCTTCAAAAGACCAAGGTTGAAACAATTTAGCAAGAAAATAAGTAATGATATTGGATTATGGCCTAGGAGCACAACATCCTTTCTGTAGTATTTGTGCCAAAAATGCATAGCCTCGATCTATTCATAAGAAAACATCAGACAACAGAAATTGATAAATATTCTACAAAATACTTAAGCAAGACTTTTTTTTGACAGAGTGCAATGGCGCCATCTCGGCTCATTGCTGGGTTGGGACTGAGGTTAGAGGAACATTCCTTCAGCAGGGCTGGGGAACCTCCTCCAGGCAGGTATGTGTTCAGAACACTTGATGCCTGAAGACTTTTGCAGTGACTGCAGTCTGTCACGGTTTCACAGCAACTCCAGGCTGAAACCAAATCCACTATTAGTTCATCCCCCATCAATCTGGAGGCAAGTAGCTGGGATTACAGGTGTCCACCACCACACCCAGCTAATTTTTGTATTTTTAATAGAGACGGGGTTTCGCCATGCTGGCCGGGCTGGTC